AAGGAAAAGTCTTAATGGAATTTGCTAATACGGGAGTAACCACAGTAGGTGGCCCTGGATGGAATCTCACTGGAGCTGCCACATTCAAGTCGGATGTCAATGTTCTGCGTGGTTTCAGAGTGCTGTATCTATAATATACTGGAATTCTCTTTCTCATGGTGCATAAGCTAAGAATATGCATGATGGGTAGTAAGATTTCTCCTGAATACTCTAGAGATCTAATTTCTGCATTGCTTGTATTTTTCTAAGAGCAGAGGATTATAAAAGAGAGAGAGGAGGGAGGGAAGTCAAAACACTTAATTTCCCAATTCACTTGGCAGGACAGGGATCCAAAGTGAATTCTGCCCTCTGAGAGGTTTTGTTTTAAGCACTTTATAGGTGTGAACTAATTTAATTGTCACAACAATTTTATGATGTAGGTACCATATTATGACTGTTTTATATGAGGAAACTGAGGCACAGAAAGATTACTTTCTTCAAGTTCATCCAGCTTAAATATCTGAACCAGGGTTTGCACCAAGGCAGTAAGGCAGTTGAACTCTAGATAGAATCTTCTTAATTACTCTGCTGCTTGTAAGTATGAGAATCCCTTAGCCCATGTCAAACTGCAAAGCCCAGGAATGACGGGAATAATATACTTTGTATTAAAGGAAAATGCATGATCTTTTGTTTATGAACATTAATCCTTGTCACATAGTTATGGACAATATTTATTTCTTCTAAACAGACATTATTTCAGGCTGTGATGGACACTGTAGAGAAGGAAACGCATGAACGACACTGCAGCAGTTACGGCCTCATGTTGCTTTGGGCTTCTCTGTCTAATGCTGTTCCTGTAAGTGTGTTATTAGTAAAATAAGGGTTACATTGATGTCGACTGTCCTTTGATTTTTTTTCTTCATTTTTTTTTTTTTTGGTAGTCCATTTATTACGGGGAAGAAAAAAACGACAGTAGATTCAGTAGTGAGATAAAAATGACAAGCGAATACCTAATGAAATCTGATTAGGTTACAAAGGAGGCAAAGCAGAAATCCAAAGTGGATTCTGCCCCCTGAAAGGACTTTGGAGCCAGTTGTAACAACAGCTGTGTATGGAGCAGTTTCTGTGTGTCAGCCAATGTGCTTGTGATTGGTACTGGAAAAAATGAGTAAAGATTGTCCTCCACCTTTTATTTGAGAGAGAACAGATGAATGGTTAGGCCTTGGATCCAGACATACCCAGCCACAGCTATCGAATCTTGTAGCTGGAACTCAGTATCTTGGTTCTTCTATTTCCTTATTGGTAAAAAAAAAAAAAAAAAAAAAAAAGGGATAATGTTCACGTAACTCCTCCATGTTCTTAGGACTTTGGTACTCAGTAAACAGTGACTCATTCTCCACAAAGGAAACGTGGTAAGACGAGCTGGAACCAGGGAACATTCGCTCTGTCTCTCCCTCTGTGCCTGTCCTCCCGCTGTGGACCACTCCTGTCTGCATCACTTGGCTTTTTGGTCCTTTAAGCTTCCCCACTAATGACACCAGTGAAAATGGAACTCATAATCGTTTTAAAGACAGGAGAGACATCTTTTTTGACTATTTCATTTTTTAAAGCTGTCGTGGACTAGAATAGAGCCATGAGACTTGTCTGCCACTTCTTGTCCAGTGCAGACCAGTTTCCTGGATCAGGAAACTCATCATTAACCTAATGAAGCTACTTATATTATCTGAAATTAAACGGCAACTTTTTTTTTATATATATATATATATACTTGTGTTTGACTAAACTGGAGCATTCAACCCATCTCTAATGATGAGTGTGGTCATTTTTTTTTCTTTTTCTTTTAACAAATAGAAATATGAAAGGAGTTTTTAGTATGATTTATTCATTCTTCCTCTTAGCCCTTAGTTGGAAAAGGCTTTGTAATTAATGATATTCTGTTTTTCCTTTACTTCTTATAAAACTTAGTGGGTAAACAGCAGACGTAAAAATTCTAGCCTCTCAGCTCAAACGTATGTCAGCTAGTAGAATATATATTTCATCTGGCATGGGCAAGTAAAAATTGTCTAATCCTTACCCCTTCTTTATGTACTGCTAATGTTATTATCTGATTTTTCCTTAAGTAATATTTTTGGGAACTGATTAAGCTATAGCAAAATTGAAAAGCAAACATCAAAACAACTCCCAAAGCAGCAACAAAGCAGCCACCCTTGTCAGAGGATTAATTTTCAGAATCCCATTAGAAACATTCCCCGGAAGAAAGCTACACAAAGCCCCATTGATCTGACAGAGGGGAAGTCAGCTCTTTGGAATTTGTTCCTGGCACTGGTCTGAAAAGATTTAAATCATTCATTTCAGAAAGGAAGCATCTGATGATTAGAGAAAGTTCTATCTCACTGGCTTTTGCTGGCACCTCCAAGAGACAGCCTGGTGTGCAGAGGGAGACTGTGGAAAGGTTAGAGTAAGGTCCACAACCAGTTCCCAGCACCGAGTGACAGTGGGCCAATTGTTAACATCCCCGAGCCTCAGCAACCTCATCTGTAAAATGGGATTCCACTGAGTAATCAATTTGAGTGCTACCTACCTCAAAGGATAGCTGTGAGGACTATTTTGGTAAGAAATGAAAAGTGGCTAATAGCACTCGAGTCAACATAGGTGTTCAATCAATGTTACTTTTCTTTCCTTACTGAAATTGTCTCCCTAGTTTCAATCATTACCTTCAGTGGTCCATTAATAACGGGCACAGACTATCCTTGCTTCCAAATGCTCAAGTGCTTGCCTGCTCAAGGCCCCTGGGTGAGAGCGTCGGCTGCTGTTCTGGCTTTTTTGACCTCCATCCATCACTCCTGAGAGGGCTGCTGCAGCCTGCAGGGGTGTTGGTTGTGGGGTGTCCTTTCTTGGAACTCAGATCACATCCTTACCTCCTCTCTCCTTATTTTGTACTCTGCCTCGAGGCCCATGAGACTCAGAGCTCAGGCCGCAGAGCGGCTTGGCACCAGTCACTGCAGACTCCAATATGGTCCAGGAAAACTTGGGCCAACTGGCCCAAAATATTTACCATAATTTATGAAATTATTTCGGGAGGGGGGGGAACCATTTCCAAGTTCTAAGAAATTAATGACTGCCCAACGAATATTTTACATTTCTCACAAAATAAAATATATTGATTTGCATGGTGTTATATTTATTTCACTAGTCACTAAGTGCAAGAGGAACTTGGACTTTCTTGTAATTTAACTATTTGTTTCTCTTGTGTATATTCATAACCACAACTAAACATGAACGTTCTTTGAGCAGAAACAGTCATATACGTATTTGTGAGGATGATGAATGGTGGAGAACTATCTGGCACGTTATAGAGACTCCATCAATACCTGTTAATAACTTCACGATGTTAAAGAACGTGCTCAGTTCATCTTCTCTTTGCCGCAACAGTGGCAGAGCTTTCCTCCTTACCGCTTCTCACCATTGTTTCGATCTGTCCAAAACTGCAGATCAGTAAGGCAGGTGGCCCTTCTTCATTTTGCCCAGCTGTGACCATGGACTTGACCCCTTTGGTAAAATAGTAATTGGCATCATTGGGAGTAGTCTCTCAAAGGTGGTTGCACAAAGTCCTTGCATATTGACTCAGTAATAAATGTAAACATTTAATTAACTGTTATCTTTTACAAAGCTTTTCTTATTTTTAAAAAGTAGAAAATCACAGATTTCTTAAAAAAGAAAGCTGCTAAGAAAAAAGGATTAAAAATGTAACAACACTATGTACGACCTTTGTAGTTTAGTTTAATTCTTGTGTTTGTATTAAAAAATAAGCATTACCCAATTTTAATGAATCTCTACCACTATAATTAGGCACATAAAACTCTGAACCCTCTTTTGCGTAACTGAAAAATCTATGTACTCTCAGTAATTTTTTTTTTCTTCCAGCTTGAATTCTGACTCCTTAAATAACATGTGTTAACTGTGGAATGGTTATTAATTAAATCAAACAATTCAGCACTTTCATCTGTACATAAATAGTAGGAAAGATGCCTGAGATATAATAGTTCTCTGGGCATCATATAAGAATGAACTAGGGAATCTCTAGGGTAAATCTTTCCTAATCTAGATAATGTCCCAAAAAAGAGTCTCTTGATTTTAGGGTTTTTGGTTCTTGGTTCACCTCGTTTGTGTAAACAGTACCATACTTGTCCTTGTCCTTGCACTTTCAATTTAATGTCCCAAAAGAGAAAACTGTAAGTTATATTGAACTTGGCTTGTTTGAGCACTTCCTTTCAGACAATTGCTCTTCCTCTTTTGACCACAGAGGGGAGTACTGGGATTATTTAAAACTGGATAATGTTCCCTCACACAAGATTTGTTATACAAATTATCGGCAGGGTCATTTCAGGACTGATTTTCCTAGATGAAACTGATTTTGCACTAAGTGTTTATTAAAAAAAAAAGGGGGGGGTACAAGTGAATCTTTCTAAGAGTAGAATGTGAACGTTTTAAAACAATAACTGAGAAAATGACATGAAGGCTGTGTTGACCAGTTTGATGGAAGTATTTCAGATTGCATGTGAAAACCCCACACTGTACCCCAGAAGTGCATTAATGTACATAGTTACCATTCAATAAAAATAAATAAATAAATAAATAAATAAAAATAAAAGGGAAACCCAAGCCTCTTTCAATTATTTTATACAGGTTTCCTTTATTACATCATCTAACAATAGAAGCTAAAGCATCTACCTGAAAAGCAAGTTAACTTCTAAGATATTTAGTAATCTAATTTTATCTTTTAATGCCATAATGAGGAGAGATATTAAATAATTTTTTTTGGCCAAGGGAGAAAACATGCAAGTATATTATATTCGGTAAGATTCAGATGTGAAATGACCTCAGCTTTCATGTTGAATATTCTCATAATCGAGTTTATGGGGTTTTAGGTAAGGTTTCCTAGGGCATACCTAGGATACTAGGGCAAAAGGATTTATTTTCAGTAGTCTTGTTTTACTTGCAGAATGTAAAATTTACTAATTCATTTCCATTTTAAGGAAAGTAAACATCTAAAAGGTTTTTCTTTAATAATCTTGTGTCATAGTTTATTGCTTCTGAATATTTAACGTATTCCTATGTAACATTGTAAATTGCTGATGGGTAACAGACATATTTTGTTACCAATAACAACACTTTTCTCATTTTTTAATGAAAATAGGAATTTAATCCTTTTTAAACAATGTAGTTAAACTTTGATGACAGTAAAATTATAAAACTGACTTCTTAGAAATATATTGCCTCTCTCATGTTCATAAAATCCAGTTGTTTTCAAAGATCCTCTTTACTAATCTGTTTTTAATGTTAATTTGAACATTATCCTAGTTTTTTTGTCTCTAAAGCTAATATTAAATATGCTTCTGTTCACCTTCAGAGAAATTCATATTGCTATTTATTTTTTTTAAGGTTGCCTTTTGGACGCTTGCATTTATCCTTTCTCATCCCAGCATCCACAAGGCCATTATGGAAGGCCTGGCTTCTGTGTTTGGCACGGCAGGTACTGAGCCTGAATTAAGTTACATTAAAAGGCCCATCTAATAATGCATGTGTGTCACACGTTGGCAAAACTAAACACCTGTGATTTTATAGAAATTCCACATAATGCAAAATTCAACACAATTTGCTGTGTGTTTCCGAACATAAATTCATCAGGTAGAATTTAATTACTGTCCAGCATTTTAGAAATCATCTAGTATAGTTCTCTTATTTTCCAAATGATGAAATAAGTGCTGTAGGGATTGTGATTTGCCTGACTTTCGTACTTAAATATGTATGATGTTTTCTCTTCTAATGTCTTGGCCTCTCACCTCAATTGAGCTACAAGCCTACAGTTTTGGAATTTAGGATTTTCAGATTTTGTAAAAGTAATATAGTGTATTTTTATAACAGCCCTTAGGGGACAATGGAGGTCAGGTAAGTTTTGCCACCAAAGAATTATTAAAAAACAAACAAACAAGTAAACCCTGACAGTTGTCAGGAACTGCAGGTAGTGATTGTTGTCTTCAACTTTTAGTCCAGTTGTAGGCTCTTCATTCATCACCTGTTTTAAAAGCAGAAGTATGGGCGGCACCTGTAGCTCAAAGAAGTAGGGCGCCGGCCCCATATGCCAGAGGTGGTGGGTTCAAACCCAGCTCTGGCCAAAAAG